AGTGATGCCATGACGGAGATGATTTCTCGGCAAAGGTGAAAATTAGAGTTTTCCATAGTTGTTTTTCAGCTTCCAGGGGATCTGCAGCCCCATCTGCTTTCCCTTAGTGTGTATGTTGCTGGCAGGTTATCTAGTGGGACTGTGGGAAGAGTGCCTTGCCTGATAACAGAGGCAGAACGCATCTTCCATCAGGGTGTTTTTATTATTTTATTTTATTTTTTTTGCCACCACACACTCTTCCGGTTGGGCATGGGAGAGGGGCATGGGCAGTCTAAAGAGGTTCTAGACCTTTGACTCATTTATTGGGTTTGTTTTTTAATAAGGATATATAGGTTTGAAGTCATCTTTAATAATCGTGACGTTCATGGTCCTGGGACAGGAGTGAAGAAGGTCTAATACTCATTAGCATTTTCAATGACTTACACCCAAACCTTCATTCAGTTTTCACAACTGTGTGGAATTGGTACAATTCTCCCCCATTTCTTGCAGTGGGGAGTATGGTTAAATAGAAGGCAGTAGGTGGTGGAAGGTCCAAGGTAGTTTTGATTTTCAAATGGCAATGAAGAAGCCATGATTTTTTTTTTTCCATGTTCAAAACTTAAGGAAAAGGGACTGTTTTAAAAGTTATGAAATAACCTGCTAGAATTTGATAGCACCGGCTTATTTGCAATGAGGGGAAGTCAAATGAAAGCCAAGATTAGCTTGTGGGCAAGATGTAGTAGATTTTTAAAAGCAGGCTTGCTTATCCGTTTCTCTGCCTCGTTTATCTGTTACTTTGCAAGGATCTCTCCTGAGAAAGAAAACACAATTTAGTTTGCCAACTGGCAGACATGCAGCTCTGCAGTCTTCGTATGAACTGGTAAATGTCACACGTGTTTTAAAATCTCCCACCAGCAGCAGTTTTCCCCAGCAATTTAGAGCTTGGTTCCTGGAGTTAATTGAACGCATCAGTAAAAGGCACGTGGCATTTTACTTCTCAGCTGCATGTTTTACCACCTCCTCCTTCCTGTACCCAACATGCACTTGGCTTTGAGCTGAGCTGGTAGCGTCTGATGTTCTTCCTCCCCATCTTTTTGGAAGAAAAAGTGGGTTTATTCTGCTTTTCCAGCTGTAAAGCTTGTTTGGCTTCAGACGCTGGGGTATCAAGGGAGGGAGAGGTATGGATTTCCACAAGACACTGGAGACAGTAGGAGTAGGGGTAAGGGTATGATGTTGGTTTTCTAGGTTCTCATTCTGCCCTGGGTGGACTTTGGAGTCTGTTCTGTTGCACAATGCTGTGTGGCCTTTTAAACTGAAATGTATTCATTTAAGGTCAGTCCTAGTTATATTTGACCAGTGGCCTTTGTGGCTGTAGCTGTCACGTGTTGTACAAGCAGGTGAAAACACATATGCACACATTTTTGTTCTTGGTTTAGTTTTGGCAGGCCGCTGATGCTGTCTTCAAACATTTGTTCTTTTCTTCTGTGTTAGGCATAATAAATATTTAGAGAAATGTGTTTCCAGAAATTGTCCAAGTTGACAAGGCATGAGTTTAAGTTTTTTCCGTCAGTCATTTTTTATCATCTGGTTCACTTAAAAAACAAACTATATAGTACTATAGTTTAGTCTCTTTAAGTCAAAGTATGAGGGAAGTGATATTAGTATGGACCTGCTTTATTAATCACAAAATGCATGCATGTATTTTGTTAAAATTATAACATTCCTACAAAGTATTTTAATACATGGCATAAATAAAATTCAAGACATTAAATTTTAATATTAGGTAAATATTTAGTTGAACATTTACGGTGCATTTGTGTGAATTTTATTATGATTTTTAAAAATATAAAAGTAATAAGGTGGTGTATAAGAATCCTTTTAGATATTTTCTCATGTGTTTATAAGCATACACATGCATATAAGCAGTCCCTGGATTACAAATGTCTGACTGATGTACAGCCTGTAGTTAGGAACCAATCCCTGTGAAAACCAAACCCCTGCCATCAAGTTGAGTCCAACTCATAGCAACCCCTATTGGTTTTTCAAGATGGTAAATCTTTATGGAAGTAGATTGCCCCATCTTCCTTCCATGGAGTGACTGGTGGGTTTGAATCACTGACCTTCTGGTTAGCAGCCAAATGGCCTTATCCACTACACCACCAGAGCTCCTTACATATAGTGGTTCATAATAACAAATGGGCCCTACTTTGTGATGTGCATCAAAACTTTTGTTGTTGTATTATTATGTTAAAGATGTTTTAGTGTATCTGGAAGTGTTTCTTTAATTTTTTTTTTTTTTATGCATGAAGAGGTACAGTATATACTATATACTAAGACAAACATTTGATTAACTGACGTTAAATACAAACCATACCTAACTGTTCCAACTTACATGTTAGATTTAAAGACAGACTGAAGAACAAAACTCATTTGTAATTGTAGTCTGGGAATTGCCTTAGCTCAAAAACGTATAGGATTTCAAAAACAAACAACCAAACACACACACAAAAAAAACCAAACTCACTGCCGTCAAGTAGGATCCGACTCATAGCAAATCACTACGGAAATATATTGCCCAACTTTCCTTCCAAAGAGTGGCTTGTGGGTTTGAACCACCAGCCTTCTGGTTAGCAGTCAAATGCCTTAGGCACTATGCCACCAGAGCTCCTGTATAGATAGGATTTAGAGATTGTGTTTTTAAGCTGATCTTGACCTTTCATCTTTAAAAGAATAACAGAAGTGATATACAACTGTATAATTATAAAAAATGAAAAGAAAACAGAAACAAAGGTCACTCCTGTTAAAATTAAGTGAATATCCTTTCAGGTTTTCCCTATGTGTAAATACATACACATATCCAGATATACATGCACGTACATACATACATGTTGGGATGTATTTATATTATGGTTTAGTTTTCACCGTTTAGCTTCATTAAGTTAGGAAAGTTTCCTTAAGAGTTTATATGTCAGTGAGTGATATTTGTCACTCTTAATTAAGGTATCAATAAATGGCTTAATGATGAACAGCGCAACCCATGGGTTAAATTCCATGCATCTACTTTTTCATTTTTTAGCCCAGTTATAATACCATATAGTTATTGATTATCGGGATTGGCCATAAGTTTTGTGTGACTCTTTCAGGTAATTATGCGTCCTCAGATGGAATATGGGCACAAATAAAGGTGTTTTTAGAATACTCTGTCTAGTATAAAGTCAGTGACCATGTTAGTCTCAAAAATTGTGATGATGATATACACCCTTTCCTGACTTACTGACATTGTTAGGTTCCAAAGACCAAGTAATTATGCAAAAATCAGCATTTTTCAGAGGTGGAAGATGACCACATCAGATCACAAAACGGAGAATGGCTACTCATTACATAACTGCCAAGTTACACCAGTACAGAACTGCCAAACCACTGAGAGTCATGTCCCAGCTAAGTTGACACATAACCTTAACCATCACAGCCAGCATTACTCTCACCTTGCACCTTGATGTTCGTTACTGCCAGATGTACATTGATAGTACAAAAAATACTCAGATAGTAGATTTTTTACTATTGTAAATATGAAATGTCAGATAATGAGATAGTCCTTAAGTGAGGAGAGGGTGTATTTACACTTGGAGACAGTAGTCAGTAACTTTCGTAATGAATTTTGGTTGCATTCAATTTTGTAATGTTTAATGTTTTATTGCAACATAAAGATGGAATATCTAAATTTGAAGTCTGTAATTTTTTTCTCTCCAATGACCAAAAAGTCTTTAAGTGCTAAGATAAAGTTAAAATCTTGGCAATTAAGCCATTTGCTCAAGATTGAAATATCAAAATATTTTAAGCTATACAATTATTATGTCTCTTTTATTTTGATTTATTGTAGAAAGTCTCAAATACACAGAGATCAGTATAATGAACCTCCAAATTCCAGCACCCTACTTCAACAAATACCAAAACCAAAATCAAACTGCTGTCGAGTATATTTGACTCATAGCAACCCCTCCTTGGGTTTCTGAGGCGGTATCTCTACGGAAGCAGATTGCCCAGTCTTCCTTCAGAGGAGTGGCTGGTGGGTTTGAACCGCCAGCCTTCTGTTAGCAGTCAAGTGCCTTAGGCACTATACCACCAGAGCTGCCTTGGCTCTACCCCATTTTACATTGAAGAAATCCCATCATGAAATACCACAATTTTTAATGTGTTATTTTTTTCTTAGCAAATAAGGCCCTGGGACTAGGGGTGAGTGGGTTGCCAGTCGATTAAAACCTAACCTATTAAAACACCTTTTCTCTTTCCATATGCCTATCCAAAATCATCCCATCGTCATCTCCTCACCTTCATTTCTACATTCTCCTTGTGTGCTAGATCCCTGTTACCCATTTACATTTATAAAAATTGTAAGTTATGCTTATTTTGATATTTCACTGATACTTTTATACTTCAGTAAGACTTTCAAAAGTATTGATCCAGTTTTGTCATTGTGTTAATGATAACATACTGCAACTTTAATATGGCGTGTGGTGATTTTTTTCGGACTGTAAGATAATACCAAGTTAGCTTTCCAGCTTCCCAAAAACACTTGGAACATTTAGCCCTACATTACTAAACACTCTGAATACATTTGGAACTTTAAAATCAGACTGGAACTATCTCACTACTAAATAATAGACTGAACACAGATGGGTCACAGTAAATTCAGTGTCCCCAAGACACTCTATGCACCCAGAGAATTATTTCACCATTAACTCTTAGTACCCTTCAGTTAGTTTGTGCTTTTTTTCTTCCGCAGTAAACTTGTCAGCAGTGTCAAGCAGTGAAGTTTGGGAAAACAATTCAATTTTAAGAGGCTAGAGCTCTCATTTTAAAATATAGTGTAGTTTTTCCAGAAAATCTGTTTATCCCCACCATCCTTTCCCGCCTCCTCTAGTGTTTCCCAAATGCTCCCATCTCTCCTTACACATCTCTTGGTCTTCTTGGGGTGTGCCATGTTTGGAGCTCTCATTAAAACAGCATCTGTTCTGTTCTAGGAGAAACCTGATGCCAGCCCCACGTCACTTCAGCTGCGGTCTCAGATTGAAGTAAGCACAATGACTTTAATCATCTGTTTTTGCTCTTGCCTTTTCCCTTTATTTTTTTAAAAAATGTGATATTCTGTACAAGTCAGATGAAGCCTGTTGCTCTACCTGCATTGACGCGAAGACTCTTTCCTTGTAGGAGTCGCTGGGCTTCTGTAGCACCGTGTCAACGCCGGAAGTGGAGAGAAAGTAAGTCTACCTCCCTCTGCCCAACATCAGAATTTCCAGGAAGGTGTCTTTTAAATCCACACTGATGGAAATGAAATGGGTGATGGTGTGTGTATAACCTGTTGAGTTTGAGGTCATTCTCTTATGTGCTATGTGTATATGAATTAGGTGGTGAAGCGTGTGTTTTGTAATTCAGCTGGTGATGAATTCAAAGGGTTCTGTAAAGAGTTAATTGATTGCACATTGCTTTCATGAGTGAATCCTAAATAAATATCTGGGAGTGAGCCTGGAGGAAAGGAAAGGGCAGTTAAGTCAACCAAATGCACTTTCTTCTTTTTATATTAATTTTTTAATATAGGATAAAAATAGGAAAGAAGCAAGGCACAAAAATGAAGTGTGTGCCAGAGTACAGCAGCAGTCGCAACCCCTTCCTACCACACCTCACCCTGGTAGGTGACCTCTAACAAGAGTGAACGCATGTAACAGAAGACAGAACGTGTTTACTCACTTTTCCTGGTAGAGGCATATTTTGGCTTCCTGCTCCTCACTTGGACTCTGTAATTTCTACTCTCGTGGAAGGTAATTCTATGTCTCCTTTTTCTAGTATTTCTTTTAGGCAACTTCAAAAGAACAAAACCAAAAACAAAACAAGTGTTGTTGTTTTTCCCCCATAATCTTTTTGTTTACTGTATTGTTCTATCGTAATTTCCCTAGAGTGTTCTATTTGTGATCTTTGGAGGTAAAGAAGTTTTAAGAAAGCCCGAGTCTCTAAACAGACGTTGCCTTTGGCACAGAGCCCCTTACACAGTTTCATTGCCAAGAGAAGCATAGAAGAGGTTTAGGAAGAAAGTATTTCTGGAATGAAAAGCACACGTTGGGAGAGCGTGTGTGTGCTTTACAGCACAGTTCTGCCTAATCCGTCCACGTGTGCGTGCTGCTGGCACCGAGGCGGCCTCAGGGAGGGAAGTCTGTGCCAGAAAGCTGTACTTCTCAACTTGAGAGGCTCAGTTGGATTGGCTGAGGATACAGGAATGTTGGAGGTGACGAGGCAAAGAGAAACAGGACGTTGACCACTCTTCCCCTTCATTTTAGTTGTGTTGTATCACCCAGGAACTTGGGAATGTGGATGCTGAGATGAACAAGACATTTGAGTTGACGTTGATTTTTGAAAGTAGAGGTAGTATGGTGGACTCCCTGGAGAGTGCATATGGTCTGTGTGCTCGGCTGCTAAATGGAAAATTAGGGGGTCAAGTCCACCAAGAGGTGTCTGGAAGAAAAGCCTGGCACTCCGCTTCCAAAACAGTCCATCACTGGGAACCCTGTGAAACACAGCTCTCCATGAGTCAGAAGCCATTCGACAGTAACTGGTTTTATGGTGGTGCTGAGCAGAGTGTGGGCAGAAGTACACAGGAAACCGTCTGCAGGTTCTGACCCAGTTGACTGCTCATTTATTTGTCTTGATTCAGGCCAGAACTCAGCTTCTCTCTCAGTATCTCTGACTCCTTCAGAAAGCAAGAAATGTTTGCCCTTGCTCCTCAGCGGAAGTGACTCACCAAATTTGTACTAACCTTAGTTGGTTACCCTGAATTGTGGGAAGTCATTCTTTCCATGTTTATATCTTCTACTTAGTAAAATGTGGCATGACTCTTGCGGCCAAGAGAGCAACTGACTGCCTTCTCTGAGGCTGACAAAAAATCAAACACACACACACACACACACACACAAACTTTTGACAGCCCCCAACCTTTCCATCTGTAATACTGATGTTTCACTTTTGTTGTTTTTACATAGTTTTTTTAAACTTAGGCGTTTCCAAATAGTTTGAAAGTTTTAATCTCTTCTGTTCTTCATTTCCCTATTAATGGCATTTGAATGGCACTTTCTCACTCTCTCTCTCTATTTTTAACTTTAAAAAACTGTTTTGAAATAATTTTAACCTTCCAGGAAATTTGCAAGAATAGTACAATGAACTCCTGTATAGCGTTGACTTGTTGTTGTTGTTGTTATTTGCCGTCGAGTCAGCCCCGACTCATAGCGACCCCTCCTTGGGTTTCCGAGGCAGTATCACTACGGAAGTAGGATTGCCCAACCTTCCTTCCGAGGAGTGGCTGGTGGGTTTGAACCGCCAGCCTTCTGGTTAGCAGTCAAGTGCCTTAGCCACTATGCTACCAGAGCGTTGACTTAGACCTACCAATTTTGACATTGTCACATTCTTGCTTTCTCTTTTGCTACACGCGTACATAAAATACTGCTAATCATTGTTCTTGCTGAATCATCTGAGAGTGGTTGCAGACATCATGACCTTCAATTCTAATACTTGAGTATATATGTCCTAAGGACAAGGACGTATCGTACAGGACCACCATTCCCTCAAGTCGGTTCAGACTCATCATGACACTCTCGGACGGAGTAGAACTGCCCCATAGTGTTTCTAAGGCTCTAGTCTTTAGGGAAGCAGCTGCCACATCTTTCTCCCACAGAGCAGCTGGTGGGTTCAAACCACTGGCCTTTCCAGGCAAGCACTTAACCATTGTGCCACTGGGGCTCTTTCTTACAGAAACACACTGTATTATCAAATATAGGAAGTTTAACAATTGCTTTTTCTAACATGAAGTTCATATTCAAATTTCTCTAGTCCCAGTAATATCTCTTTAGCACTTTTTTATTCAGTCACTCATAACATGTACATGTATGTCGTTTGTCACATTTAATCTGAAAGGGTTTTGTGGCCGTTCTTTCTCTGGCATCCATTGACTTTTTTATTTTTAGTTTAGCTGTTTGGTGAGATGTTCTTTGCTTTAGGGTCAGTTGGTTCTTTATCGATGCAGGCCATGTGTTTTTGATGTTGTGGTCTTCTCAGTGCATCATGTCAGGAGGCACATGACGTCACTTGTCCTGTTACTGGAGATACTCATTTTGATCATTTGGTCAAGGCGTGTGTTGTTTGCCAGGGTTCTTCTGAGAACTGCCAGTTCTCCCTTTGTATTTAATCAGTAATCTGTGGGGAGATATTCTGAGACCATGTAAATGTCCTGTCCCTCATCAAACTTTCACCTGATGGTTTTAACATGCTTTAAAAATTCTTACCTAAACCAGTTATTGGGAGCTCTGGTAGCATAGTGGCTAAGACACTTGCCTGCTAACCAGACAGCTGGCAGTTCAAACCCACCAGCCACTCCTCGGAAGGAAGGTTGGGCAATCCTACTTCTGTAGTGATACTGCCTCGGAAACCCAAGGAGGGGTTGCTATGAGTCGGGGCCGACTCGACGGCACCTAACAACAACAACAAACCAGTTATTACTATGATGGTTGCAAAATGATGGTTGTTGTTACGTGTCGTGGAGTCGGCCCTACTCATAGTGACCCCTGCTTGGGTTTCCGAGGCGATATCACTACGGAAGTAGAGTGCCCAACCTTCCTTCCGAGGAGTGGCTGGTGGGTTTGAACTGCCAGGCTTCTGGTTAGCAGTCAAGTGCCATAGGCACTATGCTACCAGAGCTCCTAAAATAATGGTAGATAGCCTTAAATCAAGATATTGATAATAATTTTGATAAAATCTTCCAAAAATCTTGTGGTTGATTGGTTGTTTTATTTTGTTTTTAAAATGGAGGTGTCATTCTCCAAAGCCTAGGTCAGATACAGTTTGAGTAGGTTTGGTGCAGTGTCGAGCTTGAACAATTTGTGTTCTTGTTATTTGAAAATGCAAATAAATACTTTCAAAGTAAAACCCTGCTATTCTTCAGATCAAAATGCTTCTTGGTAGCTTGGCAATTGGTTGTTAAGACCCTAGAGGGTAACCTGGCAGTCATTTAGTTGTATCTGGTTGGTATCTGCCACCCAGAATGCAGTTCGGTCTCAGCAATGCTGTTTTACGGACGGACATTTTCATCCATTTTTTTATTTGAAAGCCAAGTGAACTCAGTAAACAAAAGTGGACAAGTCTATAGCAGCCACCCACAGAAGCAGAAGGAAACACCATGGGCAGTTGAGATGCACAGATTTTCCCCAGTTGTCTCAGGGGCCTCAGCACGATGTCCCCTCCCTTCTTACTTAATTAAAACCTATCATAAGGAGCGCATCTGCATTGTGATGCAAATCTGATTTTTTTTTTTTTAAAAAAAACATCACCTCTTCCAATAGTCTTTAACATTTAACAAGGTCCTCAATAATATGAATGTAGCTCTGACCAGGAGAGGTAGAGGACATGGCTTTCTTTTGTGGGGGAGACAGGCAGAGAGAATTCTCACACACCTGGCATCACACCGCCTGGATACCCTGCCAATTGGGACTGCTGGAGCTCTATTTGGCTTCTTGATGTGCTTGGCCTACACAATAGATAGGTAGGTAGGTGGGGGGTGGATGGATGGATGGTTGGATAGGAGGATGGATGAATAGGATCTGACCCATCTCATTTGACAGTCCTTAGTCATCCTTATTTTCTTAGAATAGGTCTGGTCCCTCCATCTGCTTTCACTGAAAATATGACAAAGGAGGCCTAATGAGCTTTCATTTCCTATTTATATCTGTTTATGCTACTCACCAGCCACTCCTCAGAAGGAAGGTTGGGCAATCCTACTTCTGTAGTGATACTGCCTCGGAAACCCAAGGAGGGGTCACTATGAGTTGGGTCCGACTTGACGGCACATAACAACAACATATTGTCTATTGATGGGGCTCCCTGCTTTATTACACCATCTTGAATTTGTGTTGACTGTTGAAAATTTCAATGTTAGTTACATTACTGTTACCCACTAGCTAGTCTTAAGAATATCTAAAGAGCAAGACTGTTTTGCTGGGAAATATCTTCGTGACTGTCACTATTAGGAATGAGAGTACCTGGGTGGGACAAGTGGTTAACGCACTTGACTGCGAACTAAAACATTGAAGGTTTGAGTCCACCTAGAAGCACCTTGGAAGAAAAGCATGGTGATCTTAGAAAACAAACAAACCTATTGCAATCAAGTCGATTCCAACTCATAGCAACCCTATGGGATGAAGTAGAACTGCTCCATAGGGTTTCC